CCCTCTCCCCCCACCCTCCCCCTACCCTCCATCTGCGGTAGTGGGCGTGTCCTAACAATGATGTGTACGCAACTGCGTGTCTGCATATCTGCGCCTAACAAATGTGGTACTACGCACGACTGAAATTTTACGTTTATAATCGTAGCAACAGACCTCAGATGAGCCCAGACGCTCTGCGGCTCTTGTTATATTATTATTTTATACATGATTAAATACTTTATTACATTAATTGTATGTACACGTTGCATTAATCGCAGACATATACTACAATTATTATAATTATTTTGATATATACATATATTATTAATTTTGAAAATGATATTCAATATTATCGGGAATCGAGCTGCATAATGCAAACGCAATGCATGTATAAATTCCTGGTGACATTAGAGAGCGTGTAATTTACATAATCTATATCATGGGCTCATTGGTGACATATGCTGCACGGGCTGCGACAACTGCACTAATATGTCAACTGTTAAATTATGCACACTGACTCGGTTTTGCTCTGTGCGTTAGGAATAAAAATTAGGCGAAGTAGTGCCAAAGCTAATTTCATATGGGGAATGAACAGACAAAGATTCATCAGTTCTTATTTACAGTAGATAGGAACCTGGCTCATTCCGCTCAACTCCTGCTGATAAGGAATAACATGAATAATGTCATATATCTATAAAAAAAATACACATCTCTTCGATAATTGATGATTCATACGTGATTATTTACATTAGACAGGCTACCTACTACACTCACCTCCTCTTGACTCTGCCGGCAACGTTTTCCGCAAAGAGGCTTCTTTCTAAAGATTCCAACAGGTGGCGCTTTGCCGCGGCGGGCTTCAGCGGTGTGCTAGAGAAACTGGCATTGGCAAGCTTCTCCATGAAGCTCACGGCTGTCGGCTTGGGAGTGTCGCCCTGAAAAACGAAGATTTCACGTTTTATCAACCATTCTCATATTTTCTCGACCGTTCTGATACTTACCGGCACTCCTTTCATAACATCTAATGTATACAGTAAGGCTAACACGTCACAGGACATTATTTCGACCAATATGTGCACCGATCTGCATTTCAATTGAGATTGTTTACATATGTCAATAAACGTAACTAGGGAGTGTCACCCTTAAAACGATTATTCATGCCATGCTGTTATACGTCTGCGCACACGTGTTAGTGACTATAGGCACTGAGTGATGGGATACAGAAATGGTCTGTGTAAGATTACCACCCTACATGACCACATACAGTGGCGCCCGCAGATAGAAGCACTGGAAGCACAGTGCTTCCAGTAAATTTTGGGTTTAAAAATTATTTTGTTCCTAAATCTCTCTCGCAAGACTCACCAGATTGCATCTCCAAAAGTCTACCATTCAAAAATTTTCAGGGGGGGCATGCCCCCAGACTAGCGTGCAGCGCGCCCACGGCACTTGCTTTTTATTATCACTGAGGATTTTATCCTTCTGTGCTTCTACTTTCTTAAGACCTGTGGGCGCCAGTGACTACATATAACAGTGAAACTTTTTATTATATCTCTTTATTTTCTATTGCTGTTAAATTATAGGTAGTGTTAATTAACTGTGCTGTTTTTTTTTTAGTTAATAAAGTTGTATTAAACGTATTCTCTTTATCAGTTATTGTTCTTCCGACAAGACATAACACGTTCCACACAGACACGTATCGCGTACCATCTCTGAATCCGTGAAGCAGATATCGATGCCAGTAGATGGCGTTGGCGGCGGTGTGCCTGTCAGCTCGCTACAGTCGAGCAGGGCAGGCAACGATGGCGATCTCTGTAGTCTTCCGACGGTAGAGATGTCCTGCACGGCCGACAGCCCTGGCATGTCGCAAAACACGGATAATATACTATTACTTGTTATATGTTAGATATACAGTCTATATTATACACTCCTGTTTATATCACGTAAATCACTTCTCACTTCACCTTTAAACTAGAGTCCCTTTATATTGATCTGTATCTGTATCTGTGATCTGTATATAGATCCCTCTGTATAAACGGACTCTACTTTAAACGCTCTCCGAAAAGCTCTCGCTCAGTCGAATCTCAGGGTAATCTCGACTGCCACCATGTTTGATGGTGCGAAATGGTCAAGTGAGATTATTCCTATCACAGCTGTAGTCCGAAGCCAACTAACGATTTTAACCGAGATTTAAAGCTTAATATAATCAGTGTCATTTTTTGAAATGTCGACGATACTCTAATCGGAAAGAACTGTGTGTGAAATTCACCCGTTGGGCTTTTTTCGACGTGTTTTTCCATTCCAATTAGCAGACTTGAATTGGTGTCATCCAACTTTGTTCTGCGAAGTACATAATCCTATCAAAACTACAAATTACGTTAATAAATCATGTCAGCTAATAGGTATGGGACGCTTATTAACACTGCGAAAATCCAACTCGAGAAGTTTATCGTAGCAAATTCAAACTGGATATCCTATTTCACACAAAGTACATTTTACGCTGATATCGTATATCGTAACACACGTATGTACCTATTAACCCTGAGAATGTTCATCGATTCCATGTGTCTGTTAGTATCGGCGCCATCTGCAGGGAAGAATGTTGACTTCCTATGACTTATCCACCAGGCAATACTCATCAGAAATTTTACAAACCAATTAGCTGAAATGAGATTAAATGTGAGAAAAAGTAAAATAAAACACGATTTTTTTATCCTGATTGTAATCTACTGACAATGAAAGCAATAAATCTAACATCACGTGATCTCATCGTGATCAGAGTACTCTCTATAATCACACCCATATTTCAGCCTTACATCTTCAGTCTTGTAACCAGCGAAAGACTTTGCTCTGATATAACAAATATTTGATCTGACTTTTTGATAACAGATTCAAATTCACTGGGTTAGTTAACTAATAAATCTTTTAAAAAAAACATTTATCTTGATCAAGACACGTATTCCACTTCCAAAACATCACTGCAACTCTAGGATCCTCACGTAACATAACTGCGACCCACCTCCCCCAAAAAAATTCACCACAAATCCAAAATCACACTCCACTATTATCAGGAGTCTATCAATAATTGATAGACTCAAAAATTGATAGACTCCTGCTACTATTAATAACACCCACGTCAGCTTTGGACACCCTCCCTCACTCCCGCACACTAACGACCCCTGGTGTCAAAAACCGGAAACACGCACCTAGCACGGTGAGCGCGATGAAGAGGGTCATCGCCGAGAAGCCGAGGCTGCTCTTGTGTTTCAGCTCGGCGGCGGCGTTGAGGGGGACGAGCAGCAGGCAGACGACGCGCGAGAGAACGGGCGTCTGCAGCAGCGACGCGCTCACCGCCACCAGGAGGAAGTAGCAGACGTGAAGCGCGCACGTCGACAACGCCGCGACGCTGTCCTCTGCAAAACATCGCCATGACAACGAAATGCTATCACTAGCAACCCGCAATCATCATCATTATCATTACTTCGTTTGTTTTTATTCACTCCTGATATATTCTCTGCAAATATTTACTATTAATTAAACTATTATTAATATAACCACTACTATAATTTAAAACTATTACTTGTAACCCGCAATCAGCATTATTATCATTACTAGTACATAATCGGTATTGAACGACGAAACAGACGTTCGTTTTTATTCACTCCTGACGTAATTATCAACACGATTACTTACGATTAGTGATATTTTCCACGATAGCCACAGCTATCCGTAGCCAAAGGTATTCGCAAAAGGAAATTAAATCGTCGCCGCAGAGCTCCGACAAACCCTCACCTTAAAAAACCCCCGAACTCGTGCGCCGCTCTCGCACCCGCAAATTCGCCTCCCCTTCCCCGCCCCACCCCCGCGGATTCCACGAGGGGGCGCTACCTGTCGTGCCGACGGCGTGGACGAGCCAGCCGAGTTGGGCGTCGACGGCGCGGCGCGTGTCGTTGACGATGGCTAGGAGGTAGGCGACGGTGTTGTTGAAGCGCCGCAGGTCGTCGAGCGTGCGGCGGTAGTGCCGCTCCGTCTCCGCGCGGTAACGCTTCACGTGACGCGCGCTCTCGTCTGTCGTGCGAACAGAGAGACAGAGAGAGAGAGAGACGTCAAGGTCAGAGGTCAGGATTCGTGGGGGCCTCGTCTGCCGTCCGCAGAGAGACAGAGAGAGAGAGAGACGTCAAGGTCAGAGGTCAGGATTCGTGGGGGCCTCGTCTGCCGTCCGCAGAGAGACAGAGAGAGAGAGAGACGTCAAGGTCAGAGGTCAGGATTCGTGGGGGCCTCGTCTGCCGTCCGCAGAGAGACAGAGAGAAAGAGAGAGAGAGAGAGAGAGAGAGAGAGAGAGAGAGAGAGAGAGAGACAAAGGGAGACAGAGATTGGTTCGGATCCAATTCTGATGTTGTCATTCCGGTTTTTTTTAAATCTGATAATTTTCTGATTCTTAAAATCCTTTTAATTCTTCGTTCCATTTATGTACAGCTACACTTGAATTCCTATTTCAAAAATGCTGAATTTAGCAAAATTTAATTTAATTATTTATTAGAATCATGGAGTTCAGTTAGAATACTTTCCCTCTATTTAGAATCAAGTTCAGCACTGCTCTATTGTGACCTCCAAATGACCTAAACAAGCCTTTACTGTATCTACAGTAACAGATCTAACATGTGCAGCTCACTCCGTTACAGAATCTATCCACGATACCACCACGATTTACAGCCGAAGACGATTGGACGCGAAGATGTTACCGATTTTGTCCCAGACATCCTTGGCTTTCGTCCTGACCCCTGCGAGATCGCTGAGTATTTCTTTGTGGCTATTCTTTCTGTCGGCATCCTGAGATTGCAGCTCCTGCGTGGCAATATCTGTAAGATTCCAGTCCGATTGAAATCTCACGTAAATAACGCACTAAAACAGCTACAACAGTAAACTAAAACAGTAGCAACACAAACAGGTGGAATTTACACTGAAATTTGCACAAAACTGACGCAATATATACGAGAATGATCACATAATCTGAACAATGCTATATTCGCAGTGAGTATTCACGCACGTAACTCTCACGGACAGTTAAGGTCCATCTCCACACACGCGGCGCAGCACGGAACGCCAAGGAAACGGCGCCGTTCACCCCTACCGGCAAAGTTCAAATCTATTATATCTTAAGGCGCAGTCTCCACTGACACGGCACGGCGCCAGCCCCATTTCACCGCGACGGCAAAAGTCAAATGAGTTTGACTTTTTCCAGATGCAGTGTGCGGCAAAAGACAATTGAACCAATCAACGCGATTGTTTTTTATCACGTGTTCTGCTCGCGCCACCATCAGCCAATGGACAACAAGCATATGCATAATTTCTGATCACTGAACCAGAGTGAACAAAATGCGCTCAGACACAATGTATATATTTTCAGCACAACGGCGCTGCGTTTTGCTGTGTCGTGCCGTGCCGCAAGTGTGGAGACATAGCTTTACACCAAGGAGCTAAATATAACAAGGAGAGGAAGCGCCGCCATATCTGGCCCAAATTTGGGTTCGGCAGAGACCCTAGAACAGATTAGTGTTCTATTGTCTCTGGGTTCGGTCTGCACAGCCGTTTCAGATGATTATGGTCCATAGATGGCGCCCTTAAGGTGAAAATCACACAGCCAATCCGCTTCCTCTCCTTGTTATATTTAGCTCCTTGCTTTACACGTGCGTGCGCGCACTAGCACGCCGGCTCGCACGTGGAACGCGTACCCAACTTGTCTTTGATTTCGTCGGCCAGCATGGCGAGTTCCTTGTGTCCAGCAGCTATGAGCGACTTTTCTCTGGTCAGGTCACGCAGGTTGTTGCTCACCTGCGCGATAGAAAAACACGTGCTCTCATGCCACCTATAGTTACACACCATTCCTATGTTAATTACACATCAAGGATAGTTTGGGACCCCGTAAATGTGTTTTCACATATGTACTAATCTAATCCGGGGCGCTAAACTAGGCTCGGGCCCTAATTACACTCAGCTCCTATGTTAATTATGCAGTGTTCTTTTGCTAATTACACACTGTTCCTTCACTAATTACACCCTACTCCTTCGCTGATTACACACTGCTCCTATGTTAATTACACACTGCATTTTTTTGCTAATTAGACATGGATTTCATTGAAATAATGTTAAAGCAACGTGCTCGAATGAGTATTGCATAAATAGGGGCGAGGAAGAAACAGTATTCAGGATATACAATATGTAATGTTTTAATTACGAATTTAAATACGTTCTACTTATTAAATACAATATTAATACAGAGTAGGGTCGATTGCTTACCCGCGACTGCACGTGATGTTGGCCGAGTAACAACTGCTGATAGCTCTGTTCTATTGTTTCACGCGTAGCTGCCGCCGACCTTCCAATCTCCTGCTGCTCTTCCTGTTTCGGGTACAACAGCCAATAGATTATCACACACACACACACCGCTATCGTTTTCATTCTAAACTAGACAGAGAGCACTCACAGAGAGTGCATACCTCCGCGAGCGTGTAACATGTATACATGTGTATAACAGCTGGATCGCTGCTGGCTGCTGCTGACTGGACGCCCTAAGGCGAGCTGCTGCTGACTGGACGCCCTAAGGCGAGCTGCTGCTGACTGGACGCCCTAAGGCGAGCTGCTGCTGACTGGACGCCCTAAGGCGAGCTGGTGCTGAATCGATCGTGCCAACGCTACACACACACGAACACACACACGAGACCGATTACATGACCTCCGTTGTGCGGAGGTAATCACAGTAGCTATACAAATACAGCAATGCGACAGAAGCATGCGTGCATGCATATAACCAAATATCACAGAGACAGTTGCGCGGGGTTCTTAACCTGTGGTCCATGGACCCCTTTGGAGCCCGTGAACGGGCTTCGGGGGGCCCGTGAACCAGGCGCATAAAAATTTTGTGTTTATGTGCTTATGTGCATTTTTCTGGGGAGGGGTCCGTAGCTTTCACCAGATTCTCAAAGAGGTCCACGACTCAAAAAAGGTTAAGAACGACTGCGTTAACGGATCATCGGGTGCCCACCGGAGTTTGTCCACGTACGACATTTGCCGCCGCTCAGTGCAAATTGCGACACGAAGAGCGTCCGGGCGATGCGTACCTTCAAGTTGCTCATGGCGTGCAGTTGACCCTGAGTTGCGTGCACCAGCTTGTTGACAGCAAACTCAGTCTTGAGCTGGAACTGATGCTGACGCACGACGTAGCACACGGCGCGCGCTCTGTTGCTCACGATGTGGTAGGCGTTCCACGTGTTAGGGTCCATGTTGATGGTGCAGTCCTGTAAG